AAATCTGTAAATAGATCAAGGTCTGAGTTTTTATCCCTAGGCGTGTCCTTCAGTCAGGACCGATGGGGTACCATGCTCTGGCCCCAAGTCTGTCCTTTATACTCCCTCGGGGGCTCTCTGCTCTGCTCCCATGGTTGCTCTGCTGCACGCATTTTGTGGTTTGCCTCGGTGTCTCAGGGTCAGTCTGGGCCAGTGCCGACTCTGAGTCTCCAGTGTTGTCCCCCTTAGAGCCCAGGGCCATCAAGGGATGGCATAGACACTGATAATTTTGTGTCAGTTTGCCTCCAGGTTATCAGTGGTTTGGCAGTTAGGGCCTGGTAATCCCCCATGATGTGACTTAAGAGTGCACCTAGCTCCATGACAGGATCTGCTGTGGGCAGCTAGGCAGTTGTAAGAGGATTAGGGGAGAACATCCCTGATGCAATTGAAATAATGTTGCCTTCGGGTATAGCTTACTCTTACTGAAACACTATGTGGAGGCGTGTCTCTTCTTGCTGGCCTGGCTCCTACACATGGCTCATCAACCTCCACTTTTGAGATTAGAGCAGTGGACCACTATAACGTCATCAGCCCTAGGAGCCATCAGAGCCAAGTATCTGACCTGCTAATCTTGGACTTACTCACCTCTGAATCTACCAACTGTGGTCTTCCTGCTTTGTCTTCTTGCTTCCTGGTTCATCAGCTCCAGCAGGCTGTGTGAGTTGGGAAAAATCTTATAAAAGCTGACCCACAGACTTGAACCAGACTGGACTTCCTGTTTTGACAACTGTGTTGTCCATATCCATAATATAACACTAATATATATTCATATATATATGAAGTTTTAAAACTTCCTATATAATTAGAGCCATGGAACTGGTATGAATAAATTTACCCATTCAATGCTCTTATTCAGACAGTAGACCAAAAAATTTTCCAAATTCAGATTTCACTCTTGTGCAAAGGTGGTTTATTTAAAGGAGAATAGAATATATAGAAATAATTGGATAAAATGTATATTACTGTTTTTGCTTCTCTAGGGAACCCACAAACTCCTTCAACAGACAGAAAAAAATCGAGTAATCTGTAGATAAAAGAGGGAAACAAAGGACAAACTTTAGACGAATTCAGGAGAACACTACAATGACATACTGATCGCCCCAGAGAAAAATTAGCTACCATACAAAACATCAAACTAAAACATAGTGCATCCGGAAGGAAAATATTTGAAATTATAAATGGCTACCCTGGTTATAAATCATATACCTCTCAGCACTTCCCGCTTTTTTTTCATCGATAGCTGGCTCAGCAGAACCCTGACTTACATTGTAGGCTTCCATTTTTGAGGATCTTTAAAATCTTAGCTTTACTAAAGTTACTCTTCCCTCACCCTCCCTGATAGTTTAAATCTTGGAAGTCTCTGCAAACCTATCCTGGGTCGTCAATTGATATTCTTATCAAACCAACCTATTTTACCGTAATTCTTCCTGCACAACTCATCCTAATGTTTGCCCGTGGAGCTAGTTGGTAGGTTTCACTCCTGATAAACCCGTCTGCCATCTCTCTGTTACAATAACTTACATATTCATTTCCACTCTTGGCCTTTTCTTATTAAAATAATTTATTATCTAAAATGGTCTACGATATGTATAACACATTAGTAAGACATTTTATTGGTATAATTTGATTTATTGTCAAGTATGCATCTACTAGAAAGGTGGTGAAGGCAAAAATGTGCAGTATATCAAAAAGGAAAGTTATAGTCAGTGGCAAACAGGGAATGTTAATATGAGGTAATTATTTGTAATTATTGAATCCAATGCTTTCTAGATTTGTGCCACATTTGTAATACCTCTACAAGCATCCCTATTTTTAATTGCTTTAAGAATGATGATTTCCTTAAGAGAAACAACAATCCAAAACCCTGAAGGTAACTCAACTCACTGGTCACATAACTGCTTTCCAGGGGTTGCTATGAACTTTAGTAAAACATTACCTCAGAGACACAAGGTCACAATTGGCCTAGTGAGCTAGTGACATTCCAGATGAGAATTCTGTCATTGCTGCAGTGATGGCGTCAGGAAAAGACACCTGTCCGACTTTACCGAAACTCGCCAAGAGTTGCCCGGAGGAGAGTTCATATAAGGCGCCTTACAAGTGAGGATTTAAAATAAGGACTTACAGGTTCTGGGCTTCAGAGTTCTGGGTCATTTGCAATCTGGGATGTTTACAGATAGATAGCAGTTTTGTACTCCCGCTTGGCCTCTGTAGAAAGCCTTATGGTGCAGAGGAAACGGGAGTGAGCAGGGAAAACAAGTCGAGCTTGAGAGTGTGCAGCATAGGCTTGTGCAGCACTCCCGGTGAGAGCCGGAGAGCCTGTGTGGTCAGGTTGGAATGAAGACTGTGAGTAAACTGTAAAGGACAGTGTATAGTGGGTACAGAATGCAGCCTCTGATCTTGGTAATACTTGAGATTGATTTATTTTTTAACATTTTTTTTACTTAGGTGAAGGTTAATCCTTGAGGTTTAATGGGTTGATTTTCTATTAGGTGAACCTCAAGGGCTGTCACAGGTGTTCTGCAGCTGCTGTGGCGCTGAAACCTGACAGACGTCACACAATTGCCTCTCAAGGGCGATTCTAACATGATGCTCTTCAACTCACAAGATGTCTTTTCTTCTTGCTTTGCTCGTCTTCAGGTATACTGATGTCCATTTGCCACGGTTTTCATTAAAACAAGGAATGATTCCAAAACGTTATGTTATGCCTTGGAAGGAAAGCATGCAGTTCAGGAAAATAAATATCAAGGTATGTGCCGATAGACATTCATCATAAAAGTCTACACCATTTAATATACCTCTCAATAGATATGTAAAGATACTAGAATTATTTTTGATGAACTTTCACAAATATTTGAGCAAAAATTGAATAGCAACATCACACTCAAATAACCCAATGATAAATGGGTTTACAATAAATTTTCACAACTGTAGGTCAACTTTTTCTTCCACATCATGCCCACTTGCACTGAATGTTGGGAAACAGCTCAATCGGAAGCAGGCACCATTAATATTAAAGCTACAGTATAGAGCATGAATTTTTAAAATCTGTCCTGCCTGTATAATTAGAGAGCCACGGGAACAGTGTGGATAGATTTACAGATAAGATTTGCTGCCTCTTCAATGCTCTTATTCTGTCAGTAGATTCGAAAAATTTTTCAAATTCAGATTTCACTATTTTTGTGAAAAGATTAAGTGTTTATTTAATGGAGAATCGAATTTATATAATCAGACGAGAAATCCCAAATTATGTTACTTAGTAAGAACTATGTTTGTAAAACTGATTTCCAAATTTCAAATCATAGAAAGAATAAGAATATTCTTTACCAGCACACCCATCTAGGGTGGCTAAGACACAAAGAAATCTGAAAATAACAAATATTGGTGAGGATGTGAGGGAATCAGAACCTTATCAATTGCTGGTGAGACTGTGAAATGGTACAGCCTCTGTGGAAAACAGGGTTGTGTCTCCTTAAAGATTTTAAACCATTCACATTGAATAAGAATATACTTTGTTATTTCCCTCCCACTAGGATGCTAAGATTAAAAAAAACAAAAACTCAAACACACAAAAACATATTGCCAAGGATATGCGGAAATTGGAATTCATATCCATTGCAAAATGTATACAGCCATTGAGAATGCAAAATGGTACGGCCTTGGTGGAAAGCAGTGTGGCCGTTCCTTAAACTACGAAAAAATGGCATTAGCATAAGAACGAGCAATTCCACTTCTACAAATACATCTAAAAGACTTGAAAGGCAATGCTCAAAATGAGATTGCACACCGATGTTCATTACAGCATTATTCACAATAGGCAAAAGGTGTAAACAACCTACGTGCTCAAGAGATGAATGGACAAATACGGTACATGCATACAATGAACTATTACTCAGCCAGGAGGAGAAATGAAGACAGTGGGCTGAGTGAAATACACCAATCATGAAAGAACAAAGATTGCAGAACGTCACTCATATAAAAAGATAAGGAAAGGGAAATCCGTAGAGACTATAGTTTAAAGTGGTCATTGGAGGGGCGGTGGGGCGGGAGCTTGGTCCTGGGGAAATTTCACAGATTAAGTAAGGGTAGCGTTGCACAGCTGATTAATGTGATTGCGCTCCATATATTGTACCCCTATAAAAAGTTACATTGGCAAATGTGATAGTATACTGACACTTAAAAAAAAAGAGTAGCTGCTGAGGCTGCTACGTACAACCAAAAACCTCATGGAATTTCCTTCTTTGGTTTGAAGGTTTAGGGCCTTGACTTCATGAGACATTCCAGGTAACTGGCCTCATCACGTGATTAGTACGTTCTTCTACCTCCTAGTTTGCTGCATAGTGCCTGTGGTCATAAGAGGGTGCAAGCGGCTATCCAAGGCACAGTTGGTCTCTATTCAACTGGAAAATGGGGGAGAAGAAGAGCCAGGAACCGGAGGGTAACATAGAATGTGTGGCTAATTGTCTCTATGAAAATCGACCTCCTTTTGTCATGAGACTAAAGGAACTGGATGGTGCCCAGTACCATTACCGAACATTCTAACCAAAGATCCCATAGAAGAACCCTGATGAGAAGGGGAGAGAGATGCATAGCAGAATTCCAAATTCTTAGGGATTCCAGACTGAGGGCAGGGATTTCAGAGCTAGAGAGGCTGGATGAACCCATGAAACTACTGTCCTGAGATAATCATTAACACGTAAACCAGAGATACCCCTAAAGCTGAACCATACTTTAGTTTAACTAGTAAAAAAGAGCAGTATGCTCCTTTAAGAACTATTTACCTATGAGTCAGACTCGACTTGATGGCAGTTGGCTAATGTGGGTCAAACTTGAAAGATGAGATTAGACCTTTACCTTAGGAGTCCGTGATTTTATATTAATGAGGGAGAAACAACGTAGAAAAGGAAAGTGAGAATGCATGCCCAATTTGAAAACTAAAATGCCGCTAAATTATGCATGTAGGAACTATTAAATTGCTGTAGGTTTTTCTGTGTTTATTCTCAACAAGAAGGTACATAAAATTTAGAAAAAACTAAATTTAACCAAGCCAAGGATGCTATTATATGGCATAAAAACCGTACTACTAACATAGGTCCCATGAATTTCTTATAAAGTGTACATATGCAATGTAATAAATGCAGTTGAAGTTCCCTGAGATGACGACCTCGTATGCTTGCTTTTTGTTCACCCACTTTAAAAAAAAATCATTTTATTAGGGGTTCATACAACTTTTATCACAATCCATACATACATCAATTATGTAAAGCACAATTATACATTCATTGCCCTCATCATTCTCAAAACATCTGCTCTCCACCCAAGCCCCTGGCATCAGCTCCTCATTTTTCCCTTCCCTCCCCGTTTGCCCCTCCCTCATGAACCCTTGATAATTTACAAATTATTATTTTGTCATGTCTTGCACTATCCAATGTCTCCCTGCACCCACTTTTCTGTTGTCCATCCCCCAGGGAGGAGGTTATATGTAGATCCTTGTAATCGGTTCCCCCTTTCCAACCCACCCGCCCTCCACCCTCCCAGTATCGCCACTCACACCACTGGTCCTAAAGGGATCATCCGCCCTGGATTCCCTGTGTTTCCAGTTCCTATCCAGTGTACATCCTCTGGTCTAGCCAGACTTGCAAGGTAGAATTGGGATCATGATAGTGGGGTAGTGTGGGGGCGGGGGAGGGTGGGAGGAAGCATTTAGGAACTTGAGGAAAGTTGTATGTTTCATCGTTGCTACATTGCACCCTGATTGGCTCTTCTCCTCCCTGAAACCCTTCTATAAGGGGATGTGCAGTGGCCTACAAATGGGCTTTGGGTCTCCACTCTGCACTCCCCCCCTCATTCACAATGACATGATTTTTTGTTCTTATGATGCCTGATCCCTGATCCCTTCGACACCTCATGATTGCACAGGCTGGTATGCTTCTTCCATGTGGGCTTTGTTGCTTCTGAGCTAGATGGCCACTTGTTTACCTTCAAGCCTTTAAGACCCCAGATGCTATATCTTTTGCTAGCCAGGCCCCATCAGCTTACTTCACCATATTTGCTTATGCACCCATTTGTCTTCATTGATCATATCAGGGAAGTGAGCATGTTCACCAACTTTTTATGATGCATTAGGAAAAGAGCAGATCATTTCCCACTCAAAACTCATGGAGGTTTTGCTCAATGTCCCATAGGTAGTTTTATCCTACATTATTGTAAATGAAAGTGAGGAAATTGAGACGCAAGTATTAAACACCAAATTTATATATTGTAAGAAATTTTATTGGGCCCTAGCATTAGGTCATATTTCATTTACTATAGTGGCTTTTTACCAAGTCATTTTTTATCGCCCGAAATAACTTTGGCATAACAATGATGTTTGTATTTTCATGCAGTGTAACTACTGGGTGTAGGAGCCCTGGTGATGAAGTGGTTACAAGTTGGACCACCAGCAGCTCAACTCCCATAAATAGTCTCAGAAACCCCCAGGGGTTCGCTGTGCATCAGCATTGACTCAGTGGCAGTAAGTTTGGTTTGGATTATAACTAATCTAAATGCACAAAGAGAAGCTGAAGGCATTGACATGCTTCTTCCCGAGATCCTCTCTAGAGCTTTAATTCAGTATAATTTTTCACAGGTGTTCTACCTGCACAAAACACTGTCAGCATTTAAAATGTAATCAGTGAGGCTGTTAATCTATCTCTAAAGACACTGCAGCCCCTGGCTGGTCCAGCCCCAACTGAGGGAGCAGCAGAGAAAGAGAAGAGCTCTGTACACCAGCTGCTGGCAAATCAACTGCCTGTAAAGCATCCTGGAAGCACTGGCCACCAAAGCAGCTTGCAAGAGTGCGCCCTCTACTGGGTGGAGGAGTAAAGAAATCTCTCAATTACAGACATGTTACTACAGTGGCACTCTACCTGTGACATTAACTCTTATCTGAAGAAGTCTACTGAATTCTGATTTTAGCAAAGTTCCCTCCTGTGGCTCGTGCCAGGAATTGCTTAGGACTTTAAAATAGGCCCGCGTCACCAGAGGACAGCTAGTGGTGCTTTGCAGGAGGCAAGTGAGACCTACCTGGTTGACCTTGTGGATACCAACCTGTGTGCTATCCATGCCAAACATGGGGAAATTATGCCAAAAGACGCCCACCTAGCACTGTGCTTTAGAGTCCACCATGAGAAATAGCTCATTCCTTAAAAATGTCCCCCCTATGATTGGTGGTTCTGAATGTTGGAGCTACCTGCCTGCTCCCCAACGCCATCCCCAAAGGTGGTCAAACGGTACCTGCGTATTTGATTGCAAAATGGAAAAGCAGGAGACCGAAACCAAGCACTAGCCATATTTCCCATTTTCATTTGTGTGAGAATTTTTAATGAAAATGTGGGGACATAAAGCATTAATTCAAGTAAATGCTTTGGTGAGGAAGTTTAAGCAGTTCAACTTTGTAACACTTATAAATACATATATTTTTTTCTGGACAATACCATTTGGGTACTTTTAAAACAGGTAAATTTCGTAATGTTGGCAAAGACAGGGCATTTGTAGCATTTTCATAATACAGTGCATTCCATCCATTCATTTTACTCCTCACTGAGACGTCCTGCATGAAAATACATGCTTTTAATGTTACCTGTTGTCTGCACTGTTCCTATAAGTTTGTTGTTGAAATACATTACACACACACACACACACACACACACACACACACACATGGGAAAGTCAGAAGGTATCCATTTCATACATGCACATGACTATTCCAAGAAGAACTTATTTAAACATATCTCTGTGATCCATGGATGGCCACAGACACGTTCTCTCAGTAATCCACGCGTCCTAGTCTCCTTAGGGTGCCTTCAAACAAAGTCCAACCCAAACAAGGGCTTTTGAAGGGACTCTGCTGGGCCAGTTACATTCCAGGCATAGAGTTCAGCTGAGAAGATTATGGTAATTTTTTTAAACTCCAAAATGTACTTACTGTGAAGAAATTATTAAAAAATCCAAACCAATGCTGTTGAGATTAAGGCCAAGGGAGTTGTGCTGAGAAAGCACAACAGTACACTCGCTCATTCTCTGAGGGTACAAGGCCTGTCCTGTAAGTCTATTTTGGGGAAACCTTACTCCATCGACCTCATCGACATTATCTTGCTCCATCAGACTTCTTTTTGCTACTCAACTTCAAAGAACGTTTTAAAAGACCTTGATTTGCGTCCTGGTGGTAGAGGTTACGGTTGAGCTGTGATCTGAAAGGTGAGAAGTTACTAGCAGCTGCTCTTCGGGATAAAGATGGGGTTTTCTACTGTAAACAGTTACAGTCCCCGAAACTCACAGCCGCAATTCTACCCTGCCCTTTTGGGTTGCCATAGGCCAACATTATCTCGATGGCAGTGAGTTTTGGTTTTGGTTTTGATTTGAGTCCTTAGAGGACACCTAAAGCACTGTTTTGACGTGGCGGGTTAGGGGAAGAGTTAGAAAGGGGGAACTATCACCTTCAGAAGCATACAGACCTCGGTGGGGGGTATGTTGAGAAACTAGTCTCACAATTTGATGTTTGTATTTAAGGAAGATTTCTATGCAACAATACTTTTTGACTCCCTCATAACTGGTGCCTGATGTGTACAACATTCTCTCTTACAGTCACCATAAGAAGTCACTAAGAAAATCAGAGGAAGTAAATGTTAGCTTGTGTTTTCTTCTTTCCCATTATCCTCACTATTTTTCTTGTCGGAGGTGTTATACGTGAAAACATAGCACAAGGCTGCACCCAGGACCAGAAGTAAATGTATGCTCCAGTCAGAACCTCAGTTAATGCTTACTTATCCAGTGGTAGCTGCAATAACAGCATCCTACTTAATACTTAACAGTTCAACTACAATTTAAGACTTAATAGTTAGCAAAAGCCTTTTACTCATTTCTAAATGAATTCTTCAAGGCATCCTTTATTATTCCCATCCCATATTTGAGCAAATATCCTCACAAGGGTAAGTCACTTGTACAAGGTCCCTTGACAAATAGGAAACTGGAATTCAACAATTCGACCCCACACTTATCTTGCTGGGAGTTGGGTAACACTGAGCACAGAGTATCCATTGCCTTTGAATAAAGGGTGATGTCTGCCCAGTCGACCTTCCTCTTGTAACAGGAACAGTTCAGAGAATCTCTAGGGACCCTTCCATTTTAACCTACCAGAGTGATGCCTGGTGTGTGTGTTTTCTCGTAGCACGCAGAAGCATGTGGGATCGACATTGGCCCCTTAGAAGACTCTCTGTTTCTGAATCACAGCGAAAGGCTCTGCCATGGGGAAGATCGGAAGGTTGTCCTGGGGAAAGGCCCACCAGAAATCAAAATCGCAGACATGCCTTTGCATTCGCCTCTCTCCAGATACCAAAGCACTGTAATTTCCCATGGCTTCAGACGACGACTGATCTGAAGACAGAAAATTGAAGCAATAAATACTTTAGATGTGTGTGTATGCCTCTCTTCTCCACCCCCCCATCCCGTCTCTCTTTAGTAACTAAGTCCATAGAACACTCATATTTCACCCACAGGTTGACTTGCTAACAATGTGTCTGTCTGGGTTCTCAGGAGGAGCAAAATCAGTGAAGTAGACATAAATCTATCTATATACATAGGAATTAAGAGGCTACCTAGGGCACAGAGGGTTAACGTTCGGTTGCTAACAGGACAGTTGGCGGTTTGGGATCCCATCAGTCAATCTGGGGAGACCGATGAGGCTGTCTGCTCCCAGAGAGAGTCTCCGTCTTGGAGAACCTATCAAGCAGGTCTGCTCTCCCCCATTGGGCTGCTGAGTCAGCATCAACTCCCTGGCAGTAGCTTTGGTTCTGGGGTTTGTAGAGGAAGAATTTCCTTCAAGGATATGACTCACACACTTTTGAGGAAATGGATCTCAAATCTGCAGGCCAAGCAGGCTGGAGGCTTCGGCTTTTTATGGGGTTGGAGAAAGTGAATAGAAAATTTGCAGGTAAGGTCGCGGGCCCAAAATTTCCTCAGGATTATGTGCAGGGTTGAGAAAACAGAACTTTGCCGGAAGAACCAATTATGTACTAAGACCCGCTACACTCCCATAGGGCTTCTGCGATGCATGTGTCAGATGCCCCTTTAGACTTTTTAAACCGACCTCATTAGACACAAATATTTGCATTTATTTAAAAGTGTATCCTTTGGGGGAGGATAAATCGCTTAATGGTTTGATTTTTATTAACAGTGCTACTGAGATTTAATTTATTTTATCCACTTAAAGTGTCCAGTTCAGATCCCTCTGCCTGCCCTGTACGGGGGCTGTTCTCGCTAGCCTGCAATGGAGAAGCCACCGGAGGAGGAAGCCGCCTCCACACGCGAGGACATTGGAGGGGAAGGTGGGCAGCTGCAGGTGGCCGGCGCCGCGGAGGCAAGGGAGGAGGACCACAGGACCTTGGTGCTCAGACTGAGAGCACAGACAAAACAACTTTTGGAATACAAATCAAGGGTTGATGCAAATGAAGAAGAAACGAAATCATGCAAGAAAAGCAAACAAGCTAAAATTGAAGGCCTGGGAAATGGAATTCAAGATGGAAAATTGCATTTGAAATGAAAACTCATGTTACACAGGTTAAAACTTTCAGCTCTACTTGAAAAAACCTAGAAAACATCAACACCAAGATGAGTTTATTGATAACGTGAAACATATTAAAGCTAAATAAATCAGTAACAGCATCACAGTAGGAAAAACATGTTAGAAAAAAGATTACAATTAAAGCAAGCTTCAGAAAGTAAGCTTTTAGAAATGCAAACTGAAAAAAACATTATTTGGACAGTAAGGAAAACGGGGCCGGTTAAAGGACATCCGACAAAGCCTACAGAGGAGATACAAACTCCTGCAGCTGTTGAGCATGTGCTGCAGAACCTCACTTTGGGGCGGAAAGTCAACTGGGCAGAGAGCCCTGCCTTAAAGGAGATTGCTCTGAAGCTTGAAGAGAATCTCACCATGATCTAATAAGGCTTCCCACTTTAGCATTTTAAAAGCAGGCAGATTTCAAGTGGAAATGTATTGTTAGTGGTTTGGGAATGGTTCTGTACTGAAAAAAAATTTTTTCTCATGACAACATGGCATCTATTATTATTTTGGGGGGCATCTATTGCTTTAAGGGTAATTAGAGTGAATGACAGTGTAAAAGGAATCTGAACACCTTTGAGTTGGAAGACTGCCAAAAGATGTCCTGGCCCAGCTTTCCATTGAGAGCCCCACTGTTTTCTACAATATTTCTGACGGTCTTGACTCTTATTTGAAACACTCCTGTACACTTTTTTTCTAGCAAAAATATTAGAAAAGCATGGCCAAACTGTGAACACTTGTGGTTATTTCTGGTGGGACAATGAAAGACTTCAAAAAGTGTTATTTCTTATTCAGCATCCACTACTTTTTTTTCCATCCATGACTTTTGATTTGCCTTTCTCTGATAACTAATGATGTACTTATTGATTTGTTGTGTATATATATTCCTTGGAGTAATGTCCATCCAGACCTGATAGCCCATCTTCATTATTTTTGGTTTGTGTTTTTTAATTGAAGCATAGGTTTCTTTACATGTTGAAGTAGAAAGGTTTTCTGTTTTGGTGAACCAACTTGTCTCTGACACAGTATAAAAGTAGTTCAGTGGAGGTCCAGAGCCAGTGGGATCCTTAAATGAACAAAAAGAGCATCCATACAGGCATCCATCACACTGTATATAAAAATCAACTTACAATGTATCATGGGTCGCTGAGGACAGATGGGTGCATGGGCAAATGTGGGGAAGAAAGCTGATGGTGCCTGGCTATCAAAGGATATGGCGTCTGGGGTCTTAAAGGCTTGAAGGTAAACAAGCGGCCACCTAGCTCAGAAGACACAAGCCCACAAGGAAGAAGCA